TCTTGCCTGTTTGGTGCTCCCTTGTCTCCCCAGTGCCTGGGGAATAAATACTTATTGAAAGAAAGGAAGTGTTCTTGGTTCCACCCCTCCCCTCTCTGAGTTTTATCATTCTCCTCTCCCTCCTGACCTTCTCCACTGATTCCCTTCCTTCTGGCTCCGAAGATACTTGTTCTTTTCTATCTTGATCCTCAAGTTTCCCATTATGGCACCCATGTCCTCACCCCCACTTGCTCTACCAAAGTGGCTTCTGTCCTCTCCTCTCCATAGCACAGTGCTCTTAAAAGCCATCAGGGCCCTGGCTGGTTTGACTAGGCGGTAGAGTGTCAGCCCGCGGACCAATGGGTTTGATTCCAGTCAAGGGCACGTACCTCAGTTGCAGTTTCTTGTGAAGGAGGCAACCAGTCGATGTGTGTCTTTCACATCAGTGTTTCTCTCTCTCTCTCTCTCTCTCCATCTCTCCCTCCCTCCTACTCTATCTGAAGATCAATGGAAAAATACCCTCGGGTGAGAATTAAAACATTAAATTAAAAAGCCTTTGGGGACCTCCTACTCCTCAAAGCCAATGTCTTTTTCTCAGTCATTTTCTTAATTTTGCTATAGAATCTGGTACTGTTGATCATCCCTAGACATTCTAAAGCAAACTGCATTAACTAGAAAGCTGATGGGAGTTGAAATGAGACACCCTGGGTTTGAATCCTGGCTCTGACACAGAATAAGCTGTGCAACCCTGGACAACTTCTTTAACCTCTCTGAGCCTCAGCACCTCGTCTTCAAATAGAGAATATAATTTTGACCTTGGTGAGTTTGAATTAAGTGTTTTTTATTGGAAAATATCTTCAAATTAACTGTGAAGCATAGCAGATAAGAACCAGGTCCTGGCCCTGGCCGGTTTGGCTCAGCGGTTAGAGCGTCGGCCTGCGGTCCTGAGAGACCCGGGTTCGGTTCCCGCTAAGGGCACGTACCTCGGTTGCAGTTTGTCCCCGGCCCTGGTTGGTTGTGCGGGTGGCAGCCACTTGATGTGTTCCTTTCACATCGATGTTTCTCTCTCTCTCTCTCTGTTCCTCTCTCCCCCTCCCACTCTACCTGAACAAAAAATGGAAAAATGTCCTCGGGTGAGGATAAAAAAAAAAAAAAAAAAAAAAAAAAAAGAACCAGGTCCTGGCAGGGTCTGCTGCTCAGCCACGCATCCACACAGCAGTGTAACCTTGAGCCAATTGCTTAACCACTCCGAGCTTCAGTTTTCTTCTCTGTGAAATAGAGGCCATGAGCCAATCTACCTCATAGGTTGTCATGAAGATTAAATGAGATAACCTGCAAAGCATTCAATATAGCATCTAGCACATTGCAGCCTTTCAATATATATTAGCTTTCATTATCTTATGCAGAAAAACAAGGTGAGTGGGGGGAGTTATTGGAAGGAAACTGAGATCTCTCCTCAATTTGAATAAAATGTTGAACAACCACACCTCAGGAAGGGCAATTTCAGCAACCTCGCCAGAGGGAATTTATGGAACGTCCTATAAAGCTCTCCCTTCCCTTGTCATGACTTGACTTGAGGCTACTAATACAAATGTTCAGTCTCTATGGCTGTCAGCTCAAAATTCTAAATTGCTGGCACAGAGGATTTCATTGGCCCAGACAAGACCGGATGTCCATTCTTGACAAAGCAGCTGTGGACAGGGAGGGGGTCTTGGCCACCCAACAGAGACAAAGCCCAGGAAGGAAGAGGCAGATACTTTTGTGAACAGAAGAACATCCAATACAGGTCAGAATTACCTGAGATAATGTTTATGAAAGTGCCCTGCACCCTCCCTGACCATCCCACAGTCTACTTTGCTTGCTGATCATCCAACTCCCATCATCCCCTAAAGGTGGGCACTCTGGACTTTGATTCTAAATTCCATCTCCTCTCCCTAACTCCTCCCTTGGCACTCATCTATTCCCAGCACTTCAAGAAGAATCTTTTTAATGATAACTTTTATGCTGAATTTTATTAGGTATAGGTAAGCTACCTTCTCTCCTGGGTCCACAGCAACTAGCAACTTCCTCTGTAATATGACTGTTTCCTCATCTATAAAAAAAAAAAAAAAAAAAACACCCACAAAAAACAAAACCTTTTAGTTCTTGCATTCCATTAATTCTGTTAACCATTCCTTGGTCATTCCTTCAGTTTTCCCACTTGTCTTTCTTCATACTGTTTCCTTTGCCTGAAGAATCTTCCCTGTTGCATGTCACTGCTTTCATTTAATTAACATGTTTTGAGTATCCACTGTTTTAATAGATATCTCTAGGGTCCTGCCTGTCTCAAGTCCTTTCCTGGGAATTGTTCTTCTCCTCCCCAATCATACAATGGAATGTGTCCCTTCAGCTGTGTCTATATAACATGATCCTGTCCTCCTGGCCATAGATCATTAAATTCAGGGTGAATACTGATGTTAACTGGTTTAATCAGATTCTTTCTGTCAGGCACTTGGAATTTGAAACTGAGATGTAGAGAGCCTGGGTTCCATTAATGTCAGCATTTTAGAGAGGGACATCCATCAGCTCCCTCTCAGAAGTCCCTGGAGATACCGTGATACCTACTCTTTTCAGCCTGGCTGCTCAGCAATTCCTTGGAGTCCATAGAATATCTTGGCAGCTTTCCAATATAAGCTCCTGTTTCCCTTTTGGCCAATTTCCTTTTCTTATACTTTCATCCAAATGACATTAACCAATACAATCATATTTGAGATACTCTTAGGCTCTGGTGACATAAAAAATCAAGTAAAATATTATCTCTGCCCTGCGGTAAAATCTATTTGAAATCCTACCCAGATTAAGAACAATTTAAAAAGCTCCTTTTCTCCTTTAAGTTTTCCCATATTTCCCAAGCAGGATTAATCCTTCTCCAGTGCATTACCATTGCATTTTGTTTTAACTCTCTCACCTTCACCTGTTTGAGCTATTTTGAACATCTGCCTCTTCCCCTAATCACAAACTCTTTAAATTCAAGACCTAGATTTATTGTCTTTGTAGTCTCTTGGCTCCTAGCATAATATCACAAACAGATCATTTGGAAATAGTATCTGTTGTTTTGTCTGCACATCATCTTCTCCCCTTTCTATTGATAACAGCAACCCAATTTTCCTTTGGATATCAGCCTTTCTTCATGCTCAATTCCTCACTTCAGTGGGCTCTAGAAGAGGTACATGACCTAGATTTGATCAGAGGCACAGTGATTTGAATATGTGACCTATCGGGGCTAATAGGCATCATATCTGAGATTCTGTCTGGAAGGATTTGAGAAGAAACTCTTTTAACTGGGATTGTTCAGCTGTTAAGCCATAAACCCACAACTATTGCTGGTCATCTTTCCCTACATGAGAAAAACATTATTATTGTTATTATTATTATTTTTTTATCCTCACCCGAGGACATTTTTCCATTTTTTGTTCAGATAGAGTGGGAGGGAGAGAGAGGAACAGAGAGAGAGAGAAACATCAATGTGAGAGAGACACATCGAGTGGTTGCCACCCACACGACCCCAACTGGGGCGGGGACAAACAAACCTTATTATTAATGAAACAAACACAGTGGAAAATAGAAGAGAGGAAGAGAGATCAATCCCTAATGATATTACATCAGAACTTGCATCCAGACACCCCTGGGCCTATTATTGGGAATTTTTCAATTCCCTCTGTGTTTATTTTCAGTTTTGGTTGTGTTCTTTGTTTTGTTTTGTTTCTGCTGAAGCCAGTAGGAGGTAAGTTTATGACACTTGCAATGGAAAGAGTCTTGCGTTTCATTCATTCATTCATTCAGTCAGTCATTTCACAAATGTTTATTGATACAAAGTTCTAAGGGAACCCTGAGAAAGAAGTGATTAGTATAAGTGGGGTGAAGGTGAAAAGGGGTTGGTTTAAGAAGGGAGGTGGAAAGGGGGAGGCCATTTCAGAGAGAGGGAACAGCACGAGCAAAGGCCCATAGGTCTAAAAGTTTATGGTCCATTTCTGGCCACCAGGCTCCCTAAAGAGCATGTTAAGAACAGTAAGAACTGGGGCAAGGACAAGACTCTTAAGGAACTTGTAAGCCACGCCAAAGAGTTTAACCCTTTGGTCAAAGGAAGGTGTTGAAACCGTAAAGCATGTTTTATATACTGGAATATTTAAATACAATAGAATCAGAAGGAAATTTCCTGGCCCTAGTCTCTAAAGTTTCTGTTTCTATTTCTTTTGGTGGGAAACCAACCTTTCTGAGGGAATCAGAACTCTGGACTGTGGAGTTGAGGGCAGTGGAGTTGAAGGAGGATGTTTGGCTCATTAAGAAAGACTCAGTTTGTTTGAGGTAGTGGCAGGAGGCTGGGACAGAACCTCAGGAGGATATTATATTCATTAGGGACAGTCCTTCCCAGGTGATTCTAATGCGAGCAGAACCCACATGGTGATCTGAGTCCATTGCTCTAGGAAGACCATACCTGTGGGCAGGTGGGACAGGCTGCTTCCGGGAAGAGAGGCTGCACAAATAGGTGCTACTCTGTGTGGCCATGACTGGCGTATAACGTACACTGGAACCCTTTCTTTATGACATTCAGCCCTCTGAGTCAGGCCTCTGATTTTTCCCCTCCCTGAACTGCCTCCTCTAGGCCTATGATTCGGAAGTGTGTATTTGGGGCAAGCTCAGGCTAACTGGGCATGTCTGGCAGGCTAATGCTCTGACGGCTAGGAAGTGGATCCGGAATGCACAGGGTTACAGACTATAGTTAGACTGGAGCCAGGACGCCTGGCTTAGAATCCCAGCTCCACCGTTTACCAGCTACGTGACCTTGGACAAGTCACTCTGTTTCTTCATCTCTAAAATGAAGATGATAATAATATACCCCACATACTCCAGGCAAGTGAGGCAAGTTTAAACCATCAGTCTTCTCTTTTTCCCTTCCTCCCTCTCTCCCTTCATGGTTCCCTCTTGTCCTCTGTAACTCATCGTATATAACTGCCTTTGGAGAATACAATCCAACACAGATCCTTTTAGAAAAGCTGGTTTATTGGTCGGGCTGCTCACCAGGACACAGCAACATGAGAGACTCAATAGAGCCAGCAGGAAACTGCGTCTGCCCACAACTCAGGCCCCTTCAGCCCATCAGCACCAAGGGACCTTGTCCCAATCTCCATCCTCCCTCAGCTGACCTGTCTTCAAGCGTTCACAAAAGAGAAGGGAACCAAGAAAAGAGTGAGGGGGAGCAAAGCTTTGTATTGTAAAAAATATTTGTGTCCCCAGGCTCCCTCCCTCCCTCGACCCCTTAAAGCAATTAGCTGCAATTCTAAAAAGCAGAGCAGGGAAGATAAGGCAGAGGAGATGGGAGAGAAAGAGGAATCCTTCAGCCTCTTCTTAAGGGACCTTGTGAGCCATGCCACAAGTGACTTGCAGGGGAGGGAAATTGTCCTCGCTTCTGACAACCTCCTTTACTGGGGAGGAACAGCAGGAGTTAAGTAACCTGAGGAGAACCTGGAAGCAGCAGCCCTCTCACCCCCAAAGATTCAGGGGAGTAACCCACAAGGGCAAGGAGATTTTGGCAAGTTCTGCAGCTCTTATACTCTCGTTCTAGGGGAGGCTGTTGAGAAGAATCTGCCAAGAGTAAGGCAAGACTGAGTTCCTCCGTACAGTTATACTCTCCGCACTTCCTTCCAGCTCTTAGCTTCATGACCTGGCCATTGGCACCCTGCTCTTTTTCTTGTCCACCTCCCTCATAACTCCCATCTCTCCACAGCCTGGTGCTGACCCTTTCTGGGACCCTAATTTTCAGGGCTGTGAGAAATGGACTGCCCCTGGGGCACCACCCAGACCCCAGATGAGGGATGGGGTGAGGCTTACTTCTCTTTTCTCTTTGGATCATCGCTTTCTCATCATCCCTCCTTAACTGAAAGTGGTCCTGCAGTCTTCTGAGAACCTCAGTAAGATAGGATTCTTATCCTGTGTTTTTCATGCTGCTAATGAGGCAAATGCTCCTCCCTTCACCCATTTCCACCTTCTACTATTTCCTGTTCTCCTTCCCAAAGCAATAGCCATGTGTTCCTGTGTGCAAATGCTTAAACATTTAAGTATGCATTTAAGCCCACCTCCTCCCCTGCTCCTCAGGGCTCTGCTTGGCTCTAGCCTTCCTTATGGGGACCCTTTGTAGATACAGCCTGTGCTAGACCCTCATCCAGGTTCATGGCTCACTCTGCCCTCTCTCCTTCACAGCCCACCATCCCCCAAAAGCTGCTTTCAAGTCCTTCCAGTATGGGGCCTCCCACGTGGGCAAAGGTCTTCTTCAGGATTCACTCTTTTCTAGTACATTAATTTTGGCTTTGCAGCCTCCAGGGATCAGGATAAGAAAGAAGAGCTCAGTGAGCAGGAATGACAGCAGCTGGGTGTGTGCGGGGGAGGTGAGGGGGAAGGCCGCCTGCCCCGAGGGGGGCGGGGGCGACTATGGAAATGATAGCATTTCCCCTTAGGATCCCCAACTTGCACAACCAGAACATGGATCACTCCCCTTTCCATTTCCACCCAGACTATGCCCAAATTGGGGCTGTTCTTTGTGGAGGCTGCCTCCCCCTCTCCTGTCTTAACAGCTGTAAGACTTGGAGGGGTGCTCCTTAAGGGGAAGGTGTTCTCAATTTAGAAATATGTCAACCCGGTTGGGGTCAGAGAAAGAATGCGAAAGAGAAAGTTCAGTAGGAAAAGAAATCAGGGTGGGCGCAGGAAGAGGTGGGGCGGCAAGGCCTCCCGGGTAGAGCCCCAAGCTTCCCACTCAGTCACTGTCGCTCTTGTCCACCAGCACAGCGTCTGACTCCTCGGTGATCTCCAGCAGCGTGTGCACATCGGGGCTGCTCCCACGCAGCAAGTCGAGGGCCTCGCCACGCTCCGCACCACCCTCCTCGTCGTCGGCACCCACCTCCACCATCTCGGTGGCCTTCACCACCTCCACCTCGCCCTCGCGGATCTTCTTGACATGGAAGGTGAAGGGCGGCACCTTGTAGACAGCCGTCTTGGAGCGCGCGTAGACCACGTGGTCGGGAGTGAAGGACTTGCGCAGCTTGTCTCGTGAGGTCTTGAGCTTCTCCCGACGCTCAGTGGGAACCAGGCGCGTGCCCAGCTTGTTCATGCGCTTCTCCAGCGTGTGCCGCGTCTTCTCCAGGTTCTCCTTGGTCTTGATGCGGGTCTTCTCCAGGTTCTCGCGGGTGCGCACCTTGGTCTTCTCCATCTTCTCCTTGGAGAAGGCCTTCTTAAAGTCGTCCACGCGGCGCATGCCGCTGCGCTTGATGCGCTCAGCGCGCGACTCCTCGATGACCTCCTCCACTTCCACCGCCTCATCGGAGGACAGCTCAAGGGCCGCGTTGTCCTCGGGTCTCTCACCCTCGCCCAGCTCATCGCCCTCCTTCTCTGGCAGCGACTCCGACTCTTTCAGCGATTTGCTGATGCTCAGTTTGGCTGGTAGTTTCACTTCATCCTAAAGGGAGAGCAGAGTGGAAGGGATGAGTAGGGCTGGGCGGGGACTTGGGGGGTGGAGGGGATGCTGGGTGAACCTGAGGCAGGGTGACGGTGATCCTGGGGAGTGCGTGGTACCCATGAAATCGACCTGGATTTGTTTGCTGTTGTATCCCCAGCACCTGGCACAGAGCTGGCCACCTTGTTTGCACCCCATAAATGGGTCGAATGAATGATAACTCTACAAGGAGGGAACAGAGCCTCTGGTGGGAGATTGGTGTGTAGTGTAATTGCACTTTGGTTAAAATCTCCACGGCCCTCCAACTCTGTCCTTGCGCCCTACATCCTCCCTTCTTACAATAAACCACTCCTTGCCTTGAGCACAACTTAACTTTGGAAATGGGCAGAGCGCCCTCTGGTGCACTAAGTTAAACATTGCCCAAGCCAGGCCTAAAAGTAAAGGGGTTTGCGAACCGTTTCTTCACGTTGAGGGGTCAGAGAAGGGAGATGAACACACAGCCAACATCAGACGACCCCCAAGTAGGGCAGCTTGAAGGCAAGGTAAAAAGGGTGCGTTTCCCGGACTTCAAACCATTTCAGAACAAGTCTTAGGGAAGAAGAGCTGCGGCCCATGCCTGCTCCTTGACCTCCTCATACTGTTTGACTCCACCAGTGCGGTGCCCCCTCTCCCTGCATGTAGAAATTCAGGGAAGAAAGGGGGGAAAGCTGGCTGGCAGCCAAGGGCATGATTTCTCCCCAGCATGGATATTTCTTCTGGTTCTGACTTCCCTACTTTGGAATGGAAGGGACGGATTACTTTTCCATTCTTGCTTTTCTCCCCAGATCTGAGCTCAAGGGACCAGCAGTAGGATAGTGGTCCCAGATTCCCTGAGATCCTGGAGCGTAGAGCCAGTTCTTCCCTCTTCCTCTTGGAGGACATAGCACCAGCACCATTTTCCATTTCAGAAAGATTTTCCAAGATCCTGACTCTGGGCCAACATTTCAGAATCTCAGGATCACCTCCCACCAGAAAGTAGGGGAGGCTGAACACAGAAAGGGAAAAGGGGGCATAACCCAAAACATAAACATTGTCTCCTCTTTGGCCCAGACTCTCTTAGGAGATTTCAGACGAAGGAATGAGAGGCAGTTTTTCTAAAGGGTTTTCTGAAGATTGTTTCCCAGAATTGTAAGAACATCCCAACTGAGAAAAAAATGAGGCAACGTGAGCTTAGCCCTCTCGTAAACACACAAATACACATATACATACGTTGGCCACTTGATATCTGGGCACCACCTGCTACAGAAATCCCTTCCCCAGCTCCTAACCTCTTTCCTTTTCCCTCTCATCCACATCCCCCAGAGTTTCCTGGTTTACACTGAAAACTAGGAACACCCCTCCCACTTCCTTCCCTCCCTGTCAATAGCATTAGCAGGGACAAAGAGGGAATGCTGGCTCCACCTCTTCTCCCAAACTGGGCACCAACTCTTCTGGACATCAAACTACCTCAAGCTATCATTAGTTGACTACACCTCCCAGCAGGCAAGATGACCTGGGCACTGGGCATGCTGGGACTTGTAGTCTCTACTCACCATAGCTGGCTTAGTACTGTTGTGGGCATCCTACTTCATTTTGTCTATCCCTCTGCCTTTTACCACTTACAGAGGCATTGAAGGGGTATTTTCCATGTTCTGAGTGTAGGAGGGTCCCAACCTCTTAGCATTCTCTTTTAATTCTAGTTGTATTCTTTGGGTATCTTTTTACAATCAGTTCTCCCTGTCCACCACTTGACTCCTTTCTCTCACATCATTTTAGGACTCTCTAGGATCTAACTCTCCAAACTACCTCTTCATCTATCTCCACCAAGAATTTACCTGCAGCCCTGTATCAAAAAAAATTTCAGCTCTGATCTCTCCTCTACAGCCTCCTAGAATAAAAACCCACATACTCAACACCAAAGGGTGGAGAACCCCTCCTTTCACTAAGCTCAGACAATGTGGATGGGCTCAGAAGGATTAAGGGTGATGGGCGGAGAATAGTCAGGAAACAGTCCCAGCTGCTGGAAAACAAATTCACATTGTCTCCCTGCCCCACTCCCAGCATCCCTAATTCTTCCCTCTGCTCCACCCCACCCCCTAAAGGCTGAGCTGGCTGGTTTTCCTGGCCTCTGGCTTCCTAGATAAAGGTCTTTGCCAACTGAGCTTGGAAGTGAACAGGGCTGGGGAGAGAGTTGCAGACTTCTTGTAGCCAATGCCATCTTCCTAGTGCCAGATGAAAGGTCTCAAATACAACATCAGGGAGTAATCCCAGTAAGGGAAGGTTTATCTCTGGATTTGGGGGCATCTCTCCCAGTCCAGATAGGTACCTGGGATTATCATTCCATTCACTATAGGTATCCCTCAGAGTGATGGTTTACACCAGAGAAGCTGACTTCTTGGTAGAAGGTCAGGGGATAGGAGAAGAAACAACTTGACCCAAGTTCCTGAACAATGTCCAGTAGGTTGGTTCTGGAGAAGGTATATCACCACGACTTTAGCTTTTTCCCTCCATTAGTGGGTTTTCTCTTTTCTCCCCCTTTCCAAGCCAGGTTTCCCCTATGACTCATAGCCTTGGAGTGCTATCTTGGGCCCACCCAATCTGCCTGTTGCTACAACAACCATAAACACAATCCCAAGTCATCTGCCCCCACCCTGGGGACACAGGCCAGGCACCCTTGTCCCACCCCTACTTTCTTGGCAGAGCTCCTGAACCAAAGGAAGGGCCTCAGGGAATGTCAAGGGGGGAGGGCTCCACTTGTTCTGTGTTCACGTTTTTATTAAACAAAACCACCACTCCCAACAGGCTTGGTTTCCAGAGTTACCTTTAATGACCAGGTCTGAACAAAAGCATGCACGACTTCCCCTGCCCCCCACCAAGCACACACGGCCTCCCAACCTAGGAAGGCACCAGTACAGGATGGATTTAAAGGAGCCCCAGAGAAGCTTCCAGCCCCTTCCATACCACTCCCCAACCCTGCTTAAACTTTTAAACTTAAACTTAAGATCCTCTGGTTTAGGAAAAAAAAAATTTATGATTATAATTTAATTGAGCACCTAATATGTGTCTGGTCCGTGGCCAGGCACTTCACATTTGTCAGGGAGAAGGGACAATGTCATATAGCTCTGGAAAATATCATAAGAGCCTTTCTAGACTTAGAGTGAACCAGCTCTGTCCCCAGCTACTATCTGGGAATGGCCAGAGAAGACTTTGGAAAGGTAAATCGGAGACCTAGGATCTACTCAGAGGGTGTTAGAAGAGGGTGCACGCCCAGCCAGTGTGGTTTAGTGGTTGAGCATCGACCCATGCACCAAGAGGTTGCTGGTTCATTTCCTGGTCAGGGCACATGCCCAGGTTGTGGGCCAGATACTCAGTTGGGGGCATGCAGGAGGCGGCCAATCGATGTTTTCTCTCATTGATGTTCTATCTCTCTCTCCCTCTCTAAAATCAATAAGGAAAAAACAATAGAAGAGGGTGCAGACTAGGGGAGAGGTGAAAGAGAGGGAAAGTCTTCAAAACTCAGGCTCTCTACTTTAGACCGCCATGACAAGGGAGTGGGAGAAACCCAACGCAGAGGGTCCTTCTTTTGTGCTATAGTGTGATTTTCAACAGGGGTGATACTGTCCCCAAGAAGATGGAAATTGGTTCTTGGGGAAGTGAGGGGTGATTTTAGGTATTGTAACAGGCTGTGGTGATCCAAAGAGTCCCAGTGCGTAAACAGATATATAGTATAACTATGATTAAAATTTCATGGGGAGGGGACAATTAGAGGGGGGATATGTCTAAAAGGACTCCTCAGGGGGATGATTGTGAAAAAGAAAAAAAAGTTGAGAAACACTGTGCTATAGGGAGGCCAGAAGATCCAAGCCAGAACCAGTTAAAATGCCCCCCCCCACCCGGCCTCTTTGAGTTGGCAGCTTTTGAGTGCCCCACCCAAGGCAGGATCTGGCAAACATAAGGGATCTCTTTGCAAAACATTTTTTTTAAAAACCTGGAAAAAATAAGTGTAAATGTTTTCCCCAGCTACATGGGAGGAGGTGGAGAAGGCACAGAACATACCCCAGGCTTGGGCCTCAGGAGGGCTCTCTCTAAAGAGGCTTTGAGCCAACTGGCCAGCCCCTGAGGAGGAGTCAGAAGGGGGAAGGGAAGGGAGAACCCAAAGCCATGGTGCAGTTTCATGCAGCGCAGCACTGGGTGCAGCTCAAGTATGGTGTTTGGCATGTCACTATTAAGACAGACACCAGGAAGTAGGGGAGGGCCTCTTCCCTTCACCTCCCACCCCATTGCACACACATTTGCCTGAATTCTGCCTAATGCAAGAGTGTTTCATAATACCCATCACCCACCAACATGGGGCAGTGGCTTGGAAGAGGCTGACCATCCCGTACTGACCACCACTAAGTAGTGAGCTGATGGTGGACCATAGTGACACCCCATGCCCACAGTTCCCATGGGACCCAGGAGACCCTAAACACCCCCACCAGCTGTCGGGTCCTTGGGGGTGGGCAGAGGCACAGGCTCTGGGTAATAGGGCAGTGCCCTAGGCGTCTGGTCAAAGGGTGGGAGCTCAGGTACTGTATCAGGCTTCAGGTCAAAGGGCTCAGTCTCAGGCAGAAGGTCAAAAGGCACGATCTTGGGTGTGACCAGGTCAGAGGGTGCGTTCAGCTTCTTCTTGGGCTAAGATGAGGAAAAGGGGTTGAAACAGGGTTCGGAATGGATGCAGATAGGTTGGGAAAGAGGCCTTGGCAAGCATGCAGAGTGGGGAGGGGAAGAGGGCAGTGGGAGGGAATGCACACAATGTTTTAGGGTAGAAAGAAACCACATTTCAAATGCTTCATCCAGAGGGCCCTGGGGCTGATAGGGGTGGAGCAACCCCATCCCATGAATTAATAAATACAGTTGAAAAGGAACCCCCTCCCTTCCTCCCTCTAGAATCTTCCCCTGTCCTGTCCTTGGCCTCCTACTTTGTATCCCTACCAGGTTGGAGTGATGGGGGAAAGAAAAGAAAAGGCTGCTGGGAGCAGAAAAGGAGTTTTCTAAGGGGCTGGTCATTGGAGTCTACCTGGGGAAGCTCCAATGAGTAAAAGAGAGGCGAACAACTGCTCTGTCTTCAGTCAGACACCGCTGATCCCAGTTCTCATTATTCCCCTGGGCAGGGTGGGCACTGGGTGCTGCCCAGATAAAGAGAGGGAGAGGTATGAAGAGGGACATCCTGGCTATTTCCCTTTGGCCACATCCCCACCTCCTGCCTCTCTCGCCACCCTTCCCACCACCCAGGCTTGGGCTATCAGACACCAAAAGATGCACAGAAAAATTAGGATTACAAACAACAAGCTGTTTTTATGACAGGTGGGCCTACATTCTGGGGCACCCAGCAGCAGCTCCCAACTCTCCCTCCTGAGGTGCTCAGCCACCACTCTTGCTTTGGACAATCAGGAGAAGTCAGAGGAGAGGGGCAGTTGGAGTCACTACCAGACTCCGGTGACAGCAGTGTTGAATAGAAGGCCTACCGCCATAAAAACAAAGGAGCAGGTGCCAACCTGCCGGTGGGGTACAGGGAGAAGGCTAGAGTGGTAGGGAGGCTCAGGAGGCAGGGGCTAATGTGGTCTTTTTTGGGTCAGGTACAGAGGCCATGCCAGGGGACACCCACATTTGTCAGGGAGCTCCAGTCCTTACACCCTGCTCTTCTCCCCTCCCCCGCCCCCACCGTCATTGGGCCAGGTGATCACACATTGCCTCCTCTTTAGCACTATGAGGCTGAGCAGCTAAAAGCCACCAACTTAGCCATTGTTAGCCAACAATGCACATCCCCCCCCCCCCCCCGACACACATACACAAAGCAGCCCCAGTGCCAGGACTGTGAAATTATCTCCCTTAAAGAATAAAGGGGCCAGAAACCCTCTGTTAGGGTTAGCTTCTATTCTGGTTTCTGCTGCAGAGCCCAGGAATGGAAGGAGGAGGTGGGGAACAGAACATATAGCAGGAGGGGTAGGGTAAACCTGGGTTCTGGCCTCAGCTTTGACCCCCCAATCACTTGAGTGACAATGGGCAAGTCACTTCCCCTTTCTGGGCTCAGCTTCCTCTGCTACAAAATGCAGAAACTGAAATTGATTATCTCTGAAGCATCTTGCAGCTCAAAAGATCTATCATGACAAAATGATGAAACACTCACAATGGTATAATTTTTTAAAATGGAACAAACCACTACTCATCTCTGAGGTTGCCTGCCTAGCAACAATAATCTTTCTCTTCTCTCTACCAGTTGCCCACCCTGTGCTATCTCCTCCGTTTTTGACTCTGACCTTTACAACAGTCAGACTTTACTAAAAAAAATAATAAATTAGAGCAAGGAGCATGATTTAGCCTTAGAAATACTCCAAAAACGTTCTCCCTAGTTTCAATCCAGTGACCAGGAAAAACAACCCATACTCAGCATTTTGGAGGAAAGGTATGATAAGCAATCTCTTCATGGCCACTAGGCTTAGGGGGATGAGAGGGACCAGAATCCCAAATTGGGAATATTTTTTGACAAAGTTTTGGGGTTTCTGGAACATGGTAGCCTTGATTTGCCTTGTGTCCAAGAAGGAGCTACAGGTTGGGTTAGAATTTGGGGAGAAGTCACCAAGCCCTCAAACCAGCCCTGGTGTCCTCCCCTTTAATGCCCATGATCTGCTTGATCCTTTAAATGCTTCCTTATGTTAACCTCAAGCACTGGGAGCAGGTCTGATGGGTCCATATGTAGGTCACTAAGTGCCTCATCAAAACTGCTCCAGAAAACATTTATTTCCATTTTAGCCACCCCTTCTGGATTCTGAAAGAACTCTAATAATATTCCAATTATTGTCTGGGAGAATTGCCTCCTTAATGATCACAGCTCCTTCTGTTTGCATGATGCCCACATTCTGGCCTGATCCTCCCAGCAGTTCTCAATCGACTGACCCCAAACTACTAGTAGAAACCACTTCTCTCATTCACTAACTGTTGCCTAGCTAGGAGTCACCTGATAAGATGGCATGCCAAACTAATACTTTTTGTTTGGGAGACAGGGAAATACCAGAGAGGGGCTGAATTGCTTGCGTGCGTGTGTGCGTGCGTGCGTGCGTGCGTGCGTGTGTGTGTGTGTTCAAATGCAAACATAACCTGTGATGTCATTATGTCTAGCAGTTCCCTGAATCTGGGTGGGGCCACACAAGGGATTCCCTCCTTTATCCTCCAAGAAGATGTGGGAGGCCAGATGACCTGATCTCACAGCTGGGCCTTTCCACCCTGCCCTCCTTGCCATATCATCACCTCCCACATCTGCAGTGGGGAATACAGAATCTCCTCCCCCATTCCCACACTGGAGAACTCACACCATCCTGGGAGGCCTTTCTCCAAACAAAAGCATCCTACCCCAACAGCCTGATTTTTCCATAAATGTTGCCGCCCCCAATCTTCCCTATTAGGTCTGCCAAGGCGCAGAGCTATTTTTACTTCATTCTCTTCCCAGACCTGCAGATCTCAGGGAGGCGCAGCCTCTGCCTTCCTCCAGCATCTGAGTACCCCACCCGCGTGCCCCCACCTGGAACATCTGCTCTGCAACTCAGGGAAGTTCTGCTTCCCTGAGCCCCACCCTGTTGCTGGAATCTTTTCTTGACCTCTCAGCTCCTCTCAGAGTTGAGATCAGTTTAGTTCTCCTGACTTTTGGGGGCTCAGGGTCCTCAGCTTGAGCTATTCCGTTTACCTCAACTCTCTGTTCTCTGCTGGCCCTGGGTTAGTTCAGATGCAGTCAAAGCCACCCTGAGATTAGACATCCTCTCCCCACAGACACACAATATACAGCCATAGATCCTTGCCAACTGCTGAGAGGGAGTAACAGAGGGATGCTACTGGCCTTTGCACAGAATCTTTCTCCCTTCTTACCCATCTTCTCCAAATCTCCATCTTTGACGTAGGGTGGTTTACCCCAAGACCAAGAATTTTCCCAGGTTCTACAGTCTAGGACTTTTAAAGTGATAAGGGTCGCCCATTCAGTTTTCCACAGCAATCTTCTACCACACCAGGTAGAAAAGATAAAGCTGGCTTGCTCCCCTACGTTGTTCTCCTTCCCTTGATCTCTCAGTGCTAGGTAGATCTCTTTAAAAATCACACACACACACATGTTGGCTGGTGACGCTCAGTGGATTGAGTCTTCTCTATGGACTGAGAGATCCCAGTTCAATTCCAGGTCAGGGCACATGCCTGGGTTGCTGGCTGGATCCCCAGTAGGGGGTGTGCAGGAGGCAGCCCACTGATGTTTCTATCTTTCTCAAAAAAATCAATAAAAATATTTTTTAATAAATAAAAATCATACACAAACCCATTCTGCTTCCTCCAAGCAGTTAGATCAAGTGGAAACAACTCTGGGCAAACATTTTCTACCAGTTAGTGCCGTTTGTGGAGAAGCAAAGCTTTTTAAAGGCCAAGTTCTTCTTGGGAGGAGTCCCTGGGCTGGTGGGGGGCACTTCTGCCCCTGTCCCACCACCACCTCCTCAGATAAGTGCCAGCTCACCCACCTCCCAGTGTCTACTGTCTCCAAACACTTGTTTCAATCTATATATATCCTTTTTAGCTCCTTCTAGCGAGACCCACCCAAGGGCCTCTTGACATCTCAGATGGTTACTCAGAAGCCAGCTCTACCCGCCGAGTCTTCAGTGAAACCAAAGCTCCCCGTTAGGGGTCTTCTCACCTAGAGAGAGTGGAAAATCTAGCCTTCCTTTTCTTTCCACTCCCTTTGATAGGGAGAAGAAGGGAAAGAGGAGAACAGATTACCCTTCCCCCCCATGCTCTCACCTCCTTGGGGTAGAAATATCAACCAGGCGTCGGGGAAGTAGAGAGGAGGTGAGGCCGGGCACATTCTCACCCAAGCAAAGATCACAAGCCCTCAGCTGAGGCCCACCTTAATGGGATTGGGAAGAAGGAGTGGAGAGGGGCAGGTTTATCTGGGGTTAAGATAGAAAAACTACATTTTATCCTGGCGGGGAGGAATGGGGAGAGGTGTAAAGGAAGCGACAGGCGGCCGGGGCGGAGCCTGGGGCTCCACAGCCTCCTCTGGCCAGTGCGCGGTCTCCTCCACCGCCCCCGCAGGTATGCGAAGTGATTCACTGCGCCCAACCGCGGGACCCTGCGGGGGCTGTCCACTCGGCTCCACCAGCCGCTCTTGCCCTCCTCACCCACCCACCCCTACCCCAGCCTGCCTGTTTCCATCGGGCCAAGGGTACGGGCGCGCCGCCGGCTACGGTGTCCCCAAGGACCTGAAAGTGCAGGGAGGCCAGGGGCAGGTCGCACCGAGGGGACGGGGTAGGTGGCCAAGGCTGAGGCGGGGATGCGGGGTCCGCGGGGGTGTGCTGGCTGTGGCGTCCCTCGCCTGGCGCAGCCCCGCCGGTGCATGCCTGGGCCCTGAATCACCCGCTATATCGGGCGGGCAGCGCCTGAGGCCCCAACTCGGGCCGCGCCGCCAGTGTCCGTTTACAGAGGGTCCCAAAAGCCACCAGGGACCCACGGCTTTTCCCCAAATTTCCTCGGAAAAGACTTTTGACAGAGCTAAGTTAGGAGCGGTCTGCGAGGGGCAGTGTCCCCGAGTCCAGCCCCCTAACTCGGTGCCTCTATATGTTTGACACCGGAGGAAGGGGGGCTTGGTGAGGAGACACAGGGTACAGAGCGCGCCCCTTTGCGCGCTCCAGGAATCCGCTACTCACCCCACCCCACCCCACCCCAGCAGCGCTCGCCCGAAGGAGGGTGGGTCCCCCAGAGAGCCGCGCTGCTCCGCGGGCAGGTTCCCCCACCCCAAGCCCCGGGCCTGAGACTGCGGGTGGGCACGGAGCTCTGGGCGAGGTCTGTCCCGCCAGCTCACCTGGTAGATCATAACTTTAAAGTTGCGGCGCCGCAGCAGCTCGGCCTCGTTGACCTCCAGCTTCTTGATCTGGCCGGCCTGGCGCTCCAGGCTACCGCGCACGGTCTTCACGTTGACGCTGACCTTGCGCACCTTCTCCAGCAACTTGCTCACGGTGTTACTGGTGGTAGCGTGCGCCTTGCCCAGCTTGCTCAACTCGCCCTGGATGCTCTGCACGGCGCCTTCCATCTCCGCCTGCCGCTCCTCCAGCTGGGCTTGGGTCAGCTGGATCTGGTCGACGGCGCCGATGATTTTGTCCAGAAGGCTCAGTACCAACACGCCATTCACCTGGTCCGACTTGATCAGCTCCTCGGAGCCGGCACCTGACGGCTCCTCCGCCGCCGCCGCCGACCGCATGAGGGAGGACCCCGGGTCCTCGGTATCAGGATACCCGGCAAGCGGCTGCTCGATGATATGGAGCTGGGTGTCCTCCATGGCTACCCGGAGCCGTGCGGGGCCGGCCGGGTGGAGCTGAAGCGGGATCGGGAGACCCGGAGAGGAGGAAGAGCGGGAGGAGGGGAGGAGAGTGAGAGCGATCCGAGAGCCGAGGAAACTCGAGCCACGTCCGTGCGCCCCGGGACCGCGGCCAGAACTGTGGGGCGGGGGATCTCTGAGCTCCCGGGCTACCAAGCCAAACCCCGGAGTCTTGTCGCCCATTGGCTGGCCCCATCCCAGAAAAGGAGGGACCGGGGCAGAAGGGAAGACCGATGATTGCGGGGGTGGGGGAGCAACCGAGGGGGACCCAGGAGGCGAGCGCCCCACCCTTCCCAGGATGGTTGGAATAGTTGGAGCGGGAGCCTAGGCCCTCCGCTGGCAGCGGAGGCTGTAAGAGCGGGACAAGGGCGGAGGAATGTTAGCTGGAAAGGAAACAGGTCCTAGAATGTTGCTCTACTTTTCCCTCTTTCCACTCACCCGCAAACCTACCTCAGCCTTTTAAGTTCTAGAGCGGGAAGTCAGGTGGAACCTGAGATCCGGAAATTATATGCGAAGTAGTGTATTGTATGGGTTGGTGCCCAGTTTTTGAAAGGGAAAGGATCCACAATTTTGTCCAACGGGCCTCTAACCACCCCACCCCCCAAGTTATCAACTACTGTTCTAAAAGCTTGAGGGGGTGCATGGGGAACGGAAGGAAGAGAGAACTTAAGTTAGGGTCGCTGTGGTGGTGAGGGGCTGAAAAGCTCCTCTAGATTTTTCTTAGGATTATTTTAACAGAACAGAATTAAAATGGGTAATAAAATACAAAGTAATGCCTTTTACCCACTTCTAACCTTTCTCTAAAAATCAGCTTTCCTGTGTTTACCCCTGCCCCAGAGGCCTAGCTGACACTCACCTCAGAGGAGGATCCAGGACTGCACCCTCTTTCTAGATTCTAGATACTAGTGCCCAGCAACCAGAGAGATCACCAGTTCCCACCTTCTCATTTGACAGAGGGAACAGGGGGGGCGCTGGGGAGGACAAGTGACCTGCCAGAGGTTACCTGCAGGGTAACATTGGCTTGGTGCTCAAACCAGGTCGCTGGACTCCTCCCACACTTTCTACCTTAGTTAGCACTGTACCTTTCATTAGCACATGGCCACCCACATGTGCTGGTTTTGAGCCTGTTGGACTGAAGATTAACTATAGACATATTTTCAACCATAATGGATACTAAGGAGCAGGACCAAGGAGGACCCTTTGCTCAGAAGTCCAGGGAAAGAGAGGATGCCCATGCAACCCATTTTGCTGTCTAGCACAGCCCCAGGGCTGTGAGTTTGCTGGAGCAGCCCCAGCCCCCTTTCCCCTAGAAAAGCTGCAAACCTTTTCCCTACTTAGGAAACCAAGCTTGGGTTTCCCCAGCTGGATAGATGATAGTCTATTATAGTCTGGCATGCATTATCATTAGGAAGAGTGAAAAACTGCTTGGTAGAAACCCAGGGTTTCATCAATCCAGATGGAGAATCCACCAACCCAGAAAGGAGCTGAAGAGTTCACGGGGATAGTCTGAGATAGCCCCAATGACTATGAATCCTCATTTTGGAAAAAATATTTCCCCCAGCACTTCAATAGCTTTTTTTCTCACAAACAAATGGCTTTCTTGTTTGAGATTCAAGTAGAATAAACAGGTATATAAAATCATAACTGTTATATAAAATCATATATAATATATAGTACATCTCTATACACACACACACACACACACACATACACACACATCTGCTAGACCTGACAGATTACCAACTTATTTTAGAATTTAAAAGAAAATGTATTCTGGCAGTTTAAGTTACTTCCACTGAGGATTCATAAGATTTCTACTAAAAAAGAAGAGCGACAGTAGAGAACATTCATAAGGTTCTTACATTTTTTTAATTGGTTAGATTATTTTCGTAGGTGACACACAAGATACAAATTGTGAATAGTACACAAAAAATATAGTGAAAAGAAGTTTTCTTTCTTCCCCTGTCTGCAGCAACTACTTTCTTTCCCAGGAGACAATTGTTACTATTTTCTTGTGGAGTCTTCTATAAAAAGTATCTGCACATACAATCAAATATATTTTCCTTTTTTTCAGTCACTAATATATCTTGGAGATTGTTTCATATCAGTACATGTAGAGCTCTCCTGTTTTCCAAAGTATGGATGCACTATACTTATTTAACCATTTCTCTATCAATGGACCCTTACAGATTACAATTTAAACCTCAGTTGAGGAGGGTGTTGAAGAGTACTTTTAGTGGTTGACTTGATTTTTCTGGTTGTATGCTTGCTAAAAGGAATTAAGTCCATGCCATTTTGGCTTTCCCATAAGGAAAATATTTCTACTCTTCAAAACGGAATGACAGATTTGAGATGAGTCAAAATATGTTCCAGGAATAGTCTGGTAAATACATGACTCATTTGATACCTCGTTAACAGAGAATTTTGCAGAAAGGGCCTTACCCCTACATACCTATGTCCAAGAAATGATCTGTATCAACAAGTTTCTCTCCTGTTCGTCTTCCTACTAAATGCCAACTAAATCCAAGAGGGGGCGTGCTAAGCCTTGGTGAACTAGCTTTATCAACACTGACACCCAGAACTGGAGGGAAACAATCCTTCCCAGAGGACTTCATTTCAGTGAAAATAAGCAGTTTCCCTTTGTTTGGAATTGCACTCAGCATGCCATTGCTTGCATTCAAGGCTGACGCTTTCCATTTTCCATTGCTCGCTCCATTTGCTGAAAGGCACACTGTTCCATTGTGTGCTTTCAGCTGCTGAGGCAGAGGATGTGAAAGGGATAGAGAGGTGGAAACAAACCACCCTTTGGCTCAGAAAAAGAACACCAGGATGCAGCCATGTCAGCAGCTGGAATCTCAGCATTCTGTCACATTCCTCCATTCGTCCAAATGTTAGCAAAGTGTGACTATTTACCTTGAGCCAGCTACTAGGCTGGGGACTTCAAGGAGAATGAAGCAACCTCAGTCCTTCCTATTGAGAAATGCATAACGTAGCAGGAGAGACAGATGCATAGTGTCCAATACAAAGCGGAGGGTCCTCCAACTGCACAGGGAAGGTTGCCACTACCTTCTGAAAGAGTAGAGAAGGGCTCACAGGGGGAGGGTCTCTAGGTATAAAGGAAGAGGGAGGGTGTGAAAGTGCAGGGCTGAGGGGTGGGTAGCCAAGCATTGCTTATCTTCTAATGTGGTTCTGCTTTAAGTCTTACTAGTTTATACTTAGGAAGATTCAGCAAGGTGTGAGGGGTGCGCCGTGTAATATGTTCCATTGAGTTTGGGACCCATTCTGGGAGAGATCCTAGGGAGATAGTGCGTTTTGTTAATCATACACTGTTGGGATGAATGATGTGTCCTTACATCAGAGAAACAAACCATCCCTCATGGAAAACCAGTCCCCAGCAGCTGTCTCACAGTTGCCACAAGTTTTTCTCCCCAGATTTATAGGCACTATTCTTGTCCCTCTGACATATTTGGAAAGTGCTACAATGTTTATAAATTTCTCTTCCTCAAAAATTCCTTCTTTTTTTCTTCAAGCATTATTAATATATAGGGTAGGCTTCCTGAACCAGAAAACAATAAAAAATATTTATTGCGCAGTCAGTGTGGCTCAGTGGACTGAATGTCATCCCATGGACTGAGAGGTAGGTCCTGATTCGATTCCCAGTCAGGGCACATGCCCAGGTTGCAGGCTTGATCCCCAGTGGTGGGTGTGCGGGAGGCAGCCAGTATCACATCCATAGATGTTTCTATTTCCCTCTTCCTTTCTCTCTCTCTTGAAAAAAAAAAAATTATTCAGTGCTAATTTATGTATAATTTGGTGCTAGAACACAGCAAGTTTGCTGTGGGGTGAGAGTGTGAGTCTCAGGGAAGCAGTGATTCGGGCTAACATATAGAAAACATCAAGAGAATACATTAATGAAAATGCTATAAAGCTTCCCTTCCTCCTTTACCTTCAACACACACTGGTCTCTTATCCTACAAATAAAAACCAAAAACAAACGCACAAACAAAAACTGCAATCTAAATTGGTTTTACCTTCCTGTCTCCTCAAGGTTGAGTCCATCTGTTTTCTCCTGTTCAAATCTGATTGTTTTCTAGAACTGCTGCTACAGACCCCCAATTCAGTCCTTAAATTTCTACAGTTTATCCAAAGAAACAGCTTTCTCTCTACCAAAAGAGCATTTAAAAGTCACTAATAGGCTCCATATTCGACCAATTATCTCTTCTTTTCTAATTTTACTTTATCTCTGGGATTTACCACTGCTGTCCTGTAATTCTCCCTCTTGGCCTTGTGTGAGACTGTATTATTTTTTATTTCTTGTCCCATTTTTGCATTTATCTTTAGATAGAGCAGGAGGGAGGGAGGGAGGAAGAGAGAGAGAGAGAAACATCGATGTGAGAGAGACACATCAACTGGTTGCCACTCGCATGACCCCAACTGGGGCCAGGGACACCGAACTCAGGACTCTCCAACCACTGAGCAGTTTAGCCAGGGCTCTCTTGGTATATTTTCAAGGTTGACTCATGTTGTAGCATATATCAGTACTTCATTCATTTTTTTTCTTTATTAATGTTAGAGTGAGAGGAAGGGAGAGGGGAAGATAGAAACATCGATGAGAGAGAACATCAATCAGCCACCTCCTGTATGCCCCACACTGGGGATTGGGTCCACAACCAGGGTATGTGCCCTGACCGGGAAACAAACCAGCGACCTCCTGGTGCATGGGTCGACGCTCAACCACTGAGTCACACTGGCTGGGCAGTACTTCATTCCTTTTAATGGCTGAATAAATTCTATTGTATAGCCCTGGCCGGTTTGGCTCAGCGGTTGGAGCGTCGGCCTGCGGTACAGAGAGACCCGGGTTTGGTTCCCGCTAAGGGCACGTACCTCGGTTGTAGTTTGTCCCTGGCCCTGGTTGGTCGTGCGGGTGGCAGCCAACTCGATGTGTCCCTTCGCATCGATGTTTCTCTCTCTCTCTCTCTTCCTCTCTCTCCCTCCCACTCTATCTGAACAGAAAATGGAAAAATGTCCTCGGGTGAGGATAAAAAATAAAATAAAATTCTATTGTATAGATATGCTACATGCTGTTTGTCTATTCATCAGTTGGTGGACATTTGGGTTGTTCTCCCCATCCCTTTTTTTTTTTGTGGCTATTACGAATAATCCTGCTATGAGTATTAATGCAATTGTTCTTTTCTTTATTCTTTTTAGCGCTCCTTTCTTAATGTAGGTATTTTACATGGGTTCTGTCTCCACTCCTCTGCTCTGGTTCCAGTCATTTTCCCTCTTTTTCTTTTCATCTTCTCTTCTGGCATCCTCTTTTCTATGACTCTAACATCATATTTAAAACCAGTGACACAGATAGGCATCAACTCATCAGAAGGGATGCTGTTGTCTATCATG